CTGATATAACTGCTGATGTAGTCATTCAATGGGGGAACACATCGAATACTTGAAGACGAAGTTTCATCATTGTAACTTCTACAGGAAGATCTCTCTAGGTCAACCAAAAATCAATAAAAATAAAGTTTAGGTACCCAATTTGGAAACTAAAGTAAACCTTTTTTCACACATTTCGTCACAGTCATCACATAGTAACTTTGGAAATCTTCTCGATTGATAAAGAATTGGCGAATATAACACAAATAGAATGACAGACAAACACTCTCCTAAAACTGCAAGGAGATTTACTGATACTTATAGTGATCATAATAATATACCGATTTTGGCGGAATGGAAGGAAAATTCGAGGTGACAATAGAAATTGTTATGAATAGAGAGTATCTCCTCGATTGAGTTATTTCCAGAAAAAAAATTATTGGACAATAATGAATAATTTGTTAACTTCAATTTCATTGATTTTTGGTAGACCAAGAGAGATCTTCCTGTAGGAGTCACAATGATCCCAGACAGCACCAGATATTCCATGAATCTCCCTATCATATTCCTTTTGGAATATTGGAATATTCTAGAAATAATCTGGAATATTCCGGAATATCTGTGGAATATTCTCTAAATATGCGAATGGGAATTCCTCAGATAATCATAGAATATACCCAAAAGAATATTCTATGTTGAATGTTCCTGGAATATTCCAATAAACATATTCTAAAATTGAAAAAAGTGACCCATCTAGGAATCGAACTCGTGATCTCAAGACTATCAGAGCAACGCCTTGACCACTAGGCCAGTAATCGAATTGAATAATGTTATACATATCAAGTTCTTGTGAGAGCATTGTTCGAAATCGGATCATAAACACTTTTTGTTTCAAAATCACCTTACATCTAATTGATGTTCGATACTCACATCTCTGAAATAATAATTGGTATTTATGTGTTGGGAAACATAGGAATATTCATGGAATATTTCATGAATATACACCACAGAATATTCAGTAGAGGATATTTCATGAGTATACCGCACAGAATATTCAGTTGGGTATATTTCATGAATATACAACAGAGAATATTCAGTTGGGAATATTCCTGGAAGATTCATACCTGAATATTCCCTGAACATGTCCGACTATTCACTTCGGAATATTCCTTTTAGATGTTCCAGAGGCATGTATATATTCTAGGATTAATCGATGAATATTCGGAATATACTCCTCCTTTTTAGCTTATTTAGATAATATTCTATGGACATCCAGTGCTGTCTGGGATGAAACTTCGTATCTTAGTATCCGATGTGTTCCTCCATTGAATGACTACTTCACCGGCTATATAAACTCCTTAGATTTCGACACAGGGTGAATCAAAAAATCAAAAATATCTAAATTTGCCACTGAATAACTAACACCCTATATGAGATTTCGCGTTCAAATTTCGTATGGGAGTATTTCAGCTATGCCTGAATCGAATAGGCTAGTCACAGTTTCGACAAAAAATTGCCTGATAGTCGTTTTTGAAATTTTGAACCGTTCAACAAACAAAAGTAGGCCTTGAGAATCTGAATATTTCAAATTTGTTCACATTATAGAATAGAGAATAGAGATTGGGTACTATATTATGGAATTTTTGTTTTTGTAAATCGGTCAACGGGTTCCAAATTGAAAGGGTGTTGCGGGTGGAAATCACACACACTGTATATTATTGAACAAAAAGACTTTTTGTGATGTGCTACTCTAGGAGTCTATTTTCTGGGTAACAATAAGCACTTCCTTGCATCATTTGAAGGGCACGAAAAGGAATCCCTATCATGTTTTTGTTGGAACATCGTGTGTACCCTATGGAGGAAAGATATGAGAATTCTTCCTTTGACAAAGAATTCCAAAGTATTGCCGTTTTATAGACGAACGAGTTCTGGTGAAAAGTTGTTCGAAATTTTGACGACGAGAGGATTTGCTGACTAGACTTAATGAGTTCGTAAGGCTGGTATTGCTAATGATGGAATTATTTCCGAACCTTTCCCGTATAGAGAAGTTCGCCGAGATATAGATATCCGATACAGAATATTTCTCAAATAGATGAAAGCTTCATTAACCAATAATAACAACGCACACAGCAGAAAAAACGAAACATCATTTTGTGCATGGTTATGTATTTGCACCATAGAATTCTGATCTCATATTCTCTATCTTCTCGCACGAATTCAATCCCAAACTAGCTTTAATTGAGTGGTCTCATAACTCTCATATCGCAATTCTCGCTATAGGATTTTGATTTGTGAAGGAGCTGTATTCGGGCCACGTACAGTTCAAACAGAATCGGCTTGCCAGAATCAATAAATGCCCGAAGCTCCCCAGGAAACTTGAGAAGACGATAGGACGCAAGGAATTTCTGAGGATGTGAAAATACACGCTGTGGAAAATCGAGAAACAATAAACGAATTATCGATCACCGGGTACATGAAAGCGGTGAACAACTTATTCATGCCTTTGTTTCCCTCGTGTTCAGACATTTCTGTAACACATCAGTAACACAGGATATCCGTGAAAGAACGTATTCAGCCTTCATTCATCAAAGCTGTTTGAGGCTATAATAGTAGCTTTATGGATATAGTATATTGTTTAACGAGCACGGAATGATATAGTGATTTCACAAGAGAATGAAGTTTGCAGCATGAGCCGTAGGTATGGGCGATGAGACTTTTTTGAAATAATAACACAATGGAGTCATTGTGATATCATATACGGAAATAAAATTGATGATGACATACAAAGTACCTCATCGATGTATTGAACACAGTAAAACAAGAGCAATTTTGTGTTACAGGTGTAGAAAAAATATATTATATTATTCCGAGATGTATCGAAGACTGGAAGCATGGAAGACTGGACACAATAATCACACTATACACTGATCTGACTATATGACACATATAGGTAGGTACTATACTCATCATCCAATCAGAAGGATCTGTATATAGATGATAGATGCCTTGGAATCCTGAGACAATCAATTCCAGTTCACCTTTGACTCCATTCGGATTAGTACCTATTATAATTTCGATCATTTCCTTTTTCAACCAACATTCTAATTGTCTTTGGTTATGAGTCTTGTGATTGGTCTGTTCGAGGATTCAGTAGTTGATAAATCGATACCTCAGGGAAGATCTGATAATTGCATAAAAAAAATGGAAGAATAAATACGTGGTTGAAATTGCGAATCAATGAGAAGATCCTATAAAACCTACTCAGAATGAGAATTCAGCCTTCATTTTTCACGTAAGGTAGATTCCGATTGAGTGTCACTAAATGTGTACTCCTAACAATAGAGGAGTATTAATTATTCGTATTGATATTATTATTGGTAGTGAGAGTGGTGACTGATGCGATGCGATCAAATTACATCTATTGTGACTCACCCTCCCAACTATCAAGGCTTTTTGTTTATAGCAGTCCCTTCAACTTCAGTTCCACGGGGAGTCTGAATATTTTGAGAGGTTCAGTGGGTTCTGTATCGATAGTTTGTGATGTAAAGCATCACATTCAAGTTTCCCGGACATGTTTCCTGAATAACATTACCTACCTGTTGAGGTTTATTGGAACACCTTGATTGGAATTGCCACGGAAACCTTTGGCCAGCCATAATCCCAGAAATTCTTTATATTGCCTTCTCTATTCCCGCTCCGTTATTATTACTTTCAAATGAAAAGGCGTTCCAGAGCTTCAAAATCAGTTTGGTCTAATCAGTGGCGTTGATGCTTCTTTTCATGACATATTATAATCTTCACACTTTCACGAAAAGCTGCTGTTTACATATGTCAGCAGTTGGTTCAGAAGGAGGAATATTACTCAGTGTCTCGGCCCTTACTTGATGAAAATTCATAGACAACAAACAAGAAGTTTATCCTACCATTAAGAACAACAATCCACATTTTTGGACATTTGGAAATGTAACCTATTTCGGATCATCAATTGGAAAATTACTTTCATGTATACATGAAGAGGATTTTTCACTGAGATGGGCAGGAGTTTGACATTTCATTTCTGTTGACAGGTTATTAAATACACTTTTCATAAATCACTGTGTTCCAACGAGAAAAAAATGAGTACTCTCTTCCCGGATATACTCTGTAGCTGGCTTATGTTATGCTGGTTCCGAAGAATAAGCAAAGAACTTTGCAATAACACCGTCTCCGACAAAAAACTGCAAGTCCCTTCATCTTCCCATCCACTTCGCGATTACCTAAATTACTGAACAACCACTTAGTTTGCAAAAGTTTTGAATCGAACCACAGAATTACACTGACATTTTCATTTCATTTCATTACTTCAAAAGAACGATAAATTTGCCTGCAAAAAGGCGCTTGCAACGCAGATGTAATTCCTCTTGAGAACTTCAAATTTCACGTGGATAATTTTCTGATTTCAATATAATGTGATATCTTCTCAATATTTATTTGTCCTTTGTCCTATCGCAGAAGAAAATAGTGTATACACCGGAAAAATATTGAATTTTTCCCACGGTTTTCTCCATCCGCTATACGCGTAGGGAGACAACACAACCTCGAGCTAGAATCAACATCTTTTTTCCCTTGTACACCGGAAAGATTTATGGCACGGTAGTCTGGTGGACCAAATGCGACGTGTTATTTACTATTCGCGAATAAATACGGGCCTATTGATCATTCTAGAACACGTGATTTTGACATGGTTTCTTGAGGGGCACACAAACTATCTGTTAGGTTACCTCTGATGAGCATAGCCCTGGCCATTCCTGCCACATCCACAATATAATAACAGTTTCACCAAACAAAATTATGAAATTCTTTCTGGTTCCAACTCTGATTCCAATGAAAACGATCCCACTTAATCTGGTTTTATATGACAAATCTTGCCAAAATACAATGTTTGCCCCTCAGCGACCTGTCAAATGACGTAATTCTGGAATGATCAATATTAGCACGTCATATTTGACATTGACACAGCTACCAACCTGCGGCTGCGCCGTGACCGGCGGCTTGGAATACGGATCGACAGGCGCTTCGCCGTCCTCGCACTCCGAGGACAGGTCCCCGGAGCTGAAGCGCCGCTTCAGGTAATTGACATTCGTCGTGAAGGACTGCCGGAAGCTGCTGAACGAAATGGTGGGGCCGTTGGCGGTCGGGCCGCAGTACTTGCCGCACTCGGTAATCTTGACGGCTCGGGGGGCCTGTCTGCTGGAGACCGGAAGCGGGGGGGCGGGCGACTGGAACAAATAAATTTTTCTGCAACCGACACAAAAGTCGTCTATTTTGATACCAAAATTAGCTCTTGAATTGACGTTTCTATTACTGACACAAAAATAGGTATGTTGCTAGGCAACAAATTCAGTTCCTAGGAGCTAAAGTTGAACTTTAGTTCCTAGGAGCTAAGGTTGAACTTTAGTTCCTAGGAGCTGAAGTTGAACATTAGCACCTAGGAACTGAAAAGGAAGTACTAGACGTCATAAATAAACAACAGTGTTACGTATGTTTTTTTGGGTTGGGACGCATACCTGATTTGTTTCTGATTTCGGCAGATTTGGCATTTCATACCCATGCTGGAGATATAAATACACCTTATTATAGTTGAGTATAGGAATTTCGAACATCTCAGCTAGATATATTTGTTTTGATCAGGGTATTCAAGATTCACATATATGCTTGATCTGTATTTCATTCGTTATTCTCGGGATGAATAACTTGTTTTTGAATAATAATGGCAAGCAATAGTATTTTGTCTCAAACAACGATATTGTTTTCCTCTATTTGATTACCAAGTCAAACACAGTGTAGTATGGAGAGGAATAAATAATCGCTATTATTATTGTTGATATGCTCAAGAACCTAACATTTTCCACGTTTTGTTCCTATACCTGGCACTAACGCGGTATTTGCCAGTAGAGCACCTGGTCCATACACAGATATGTCACTCTGTGGTTGTATTTATATGAAACTACAATTCGAACGTTCTTGAAAATTTAATAAACCTGCTGTTAATGCAGGTAGAATATTCTCACCACACGGCTTTTGCATTGATTTTGATTTGTTGCATTGCATACATATAGCACGGCATTGGTGGTTACTTCACATATTTATTTGAGTTAATTGTTTCGGCTAATGAAACAATATATATGTTTTCCATAGGTCTATTCGTCAACTCTCTCGCACACAATTCAATGGGCGTGTACACCTTAGTAGAACTTTCGACTCAAACCATGTTTAAAATGATCCTTTTATACATAAATAATGATTGACGACATAATTGGATCGAAAAATTAACTGAAATGTTTTATTTTTGGACATAAATATTAGTACCTTCTGAAAACGGACCCTCTTATGACGTAGAAACGTCATCTCGCCATAGTTTAAAAAAAATTCCAAACGCCCGACGGAGACTGAGACAACTGATATATTAATTCGTTCAACTGTGACCTCGCGCTAATTCACTCTGTCAGAAATCATGTATCATTCATCTCTGTCTGGAATAGTCTTGTTTCAGTATTAGGGTTTTGACGTCACATTATCGCCTCGTTTTCAGAGGTCCGAAAAATCGGGGATTTCAATAATGTTTTATAAAACGTAGGGAGCTCACAGCAAGAAACGGTTTGCGGTGGTGAGCTAGTTTGGGTGAGTTCTATCGAATTATGAAATAATTTATTTTTGTGATATAAGCCCATTGCAAGACTTCCGTCTGATATATTGTAGCATACCCACCGAGATTGATTGAGACTCTCGTCTTCGGTTATCTGCTAAACACACCGGCTCCAACTCCAAGCGGTGTTTTCGAACCATATCTGTGTACGTTACGTATTCGGTCAATGGGAATTGGATTGATTTTCTTACCCAACCGTCTCTCTTCGGAAAGAGGACTTTGACAGACTTTTTTACGTGTGTCTGAGTAGCGAACATGTCGGAAACCATTCCTAAAGTTTGGTGATTTTTTATTTCACAAAGTATCCCGGAGTGTTTCAGCAGTCGCATCCCTCTAATTTGATTTTCCAACGACATGAATCTACAGGAAACCAACCTGCCTTTCCTTTCCAAGGCAATGTGGAGGGGCGTGAGGTTCAGGAAGTTTTCCATCACTGCCGTTGGAGTGGAGGACATTGCCCCTGTAGTGGCCAGACATGCCAGCCGCTGAAGACCAGCGAACTTTGCCCTGCAGATCTTTGGTCCACCAGACTACCGAGCCATACATCTTTTTGGTGTTTATTCTTCTTCTGAGATTCCAGAGGAAAAATCTGGCTTTGTTGATAGTTTTTACCATGTGGGCGTTCCAGGTGAGTCTTTTATCTAGGGTGACACCTAGATATTTCACCTCCGCCGCAAACGGAATGCTCTCTCCATATAGGCTGACGAAGCTCATCTAGCTTTCGCCTTTTGGTAAAAAGGATAATTACAGTTGTTCGTTGGTTCACAGATATCTGCTCCCTCTCGCATCATCTGTACACAGTAACAAGTGCTTTTTGTATGCCGTTTGAGATCGTCGCTTGAAATTTTCCTCTTTCCATCAGGACTAAATCATCTGCATAGCATTGAAAATCCACCTCCTGCATGGAAAGATCGTTCAGCAGAGAGTCAACTAGGAATGACCACATAGGTGGGGAAAGTACCCCACCCTGTGGACAACCTTTTGCCGCTCTAAACCTGATCGACTCTCCATGATGATATGATGAACCGATTTCCAATCATGGTATTGATCCAGTTGCAGCAGATTAATTCAACGGTAACAATATTTTAGGAGACCATGATCAATTTTGTTCTTCATTCTGACGTTTATGAGATGAACATTGTTATTGTTGATTTTCTTTTTCAGTTTTTTTGCTTGGTAATATTATTACTGCGATTTTCAACTGAGATTTTGAGGAAATGCAAGTTATTCGTTATTCCGAGATGGTTATCGCTCGACGCGTTCCAAATTCTTCAACAATTTCGAGGATTGTGCAAAGATTGCGGAAAAAAATGTTTTGAACAAAAAATAGAGATGGTGTCCAGCCTAGAAGTTCGAGGCCTCCTGAAATATTATTACTGATAAATTCATCTGCTGATATCATGTCACTACAAAACCTCAAATATTTCGAAAACGGTTACCATTTTTGTATTTTGATAAGAGTATCGTATTCATGTTTTTTTGTTTCGCTCCATCAAATGCTTTTATTGTTTCATCAAAAAGGATACGAGGACAAATGTTGTCTTCGGAAAATCATGACTCACCCTCTGAAAACACCCTTTATAACAATATCAGAAATGTAGAAGTGTATCAGAAAAATGTATTTAATCAACACACATTTATTTAGGAACATCCAATCTGGTGACCTCCATAAACTTATGATAAAAATTGTATGAAGTTTCAAATGCCAGATATGTAAATATTTATCAAAACTATACTGCAAACTCCTCGAGCTCAGTTAATTTGAATGTTTGAAGCAAATATAGATGGAATAATCATGTTGCCAAACTGCCTATGATATTCATGAAATCCACTCCCCCATATACGATCTTTCGTATGATATCTCACAATTCTGTCACGAATATAGATATAAAATCTGTATCCCACATGGATATCAATTGCATATATTATATAAAATGTCGCAACATATAACACTTCCAGATGTGTACTTCTGAATGCGAACGTCTATAGCGACATCGACTATTGGATTATGCTAAGAAGTAAAATGTGTATGTTTGCGGAATATCAATGAGCTGGAAATATAGCAAGAAAGTATATTGGAACAACAAATGGAAGTAAATATGAATGGAATCAGAGGAAATGTTTCCATTCGAATAAGATGCGATTATACAAGGAATAGATAAATCTCAAACATGATGAGAGGGCGACTGTATAGTCACTGACAGTGTTTTCACTGTTTTCTCTCAACCGAAATACATTAAGCAGTGACTAATGTAAACATTTTCCCCACAAGATATTTATTGATTTTCATATACTAATAGTTATTTGTTTAACTTGGCACGATACGCTCGACAGTCAATTGTGTATGAGTCGTACAGCAATCAGTCAGTCAGTCACTCAGTGAGACGTGTATCTTGAAATAGGACGCACCAAATATTGTCAGGCGTCTCGTCAGAGGCCAAACACTTTCTGTACTTGCTTCCGCACAGCTCGTTCTCAATATTTGATGCGTTCTGTTTCTAGACGCTAGTCGATAGTGTCAAGTTGTAACTGTGGATAGAGGTCAAGTTAATGTTGGCGATGACACTCGAGTGACTACAAACCAAGGATCTCAATGTTAACACCCATTGAGTTCAATGCTCCAAACTAGTCCAAACTACAACCGTCGTCTAGCTAGACCAGCGAATCTTTCAATGTTATCAGAAGGTTATTCGTGTTTATAGGACTTATTTACTTATTTGTTTATAGGTAATGAGGAAGAGAACTGTCTCTTCTGCATGAAAAAGAAAAGTACTTTCAACCTAATTTGTCGTGAAAAGTATATTTTTGAAAAATTAATTGAATGAAAAAAATTAGGACTTGGGTCGGGCGAGGGAGCACGTGCGCTATTGACTGAATTCAGTGTCGGATCGTCACTGTGATCGACACTATTTATTTTCATGCCTTTTGAGAGAAATTGTGCAGTTGATGCATATATCAGCCCGTGTTTTTATGTATGTTGTGGTGTTGTCTGGTTTATGTTATATTCCGGGTAAGGTCACTTCCAGCGATGTGGTATTTGTAAAACTTGTTGGCCGTTTCAATTATGTAGTCTCTAATTTTTGGCAAATTACCACATCTATCGTGAAGATCTGCCACTCGCGAGTGTCGATCACCGTTGGTGATCATAAGATTATACGGAGTACTTTGTTCTGCAGCACCTGCAATCTGTTCATGTGCGTTGGTGAGATATGATGCAGAACACCGGGTACGCGTACGACATCATGGTCTAATAACTTGTACACCAGGACCTTGTTCTCCACTGAGAGTGGAGAGGTCCTGGATAACAGCGGGTACATCTTCTTGATGGCACCTTGGGTTTTTTCAATCAGATGTTTGGTATTAGACCTGAGAGTCATACGGGTGTCCAGCTTCCCCCAGGTATTTCACGGGAACCGTGTCTGTTATCTCGACCCCTTTGACGGTCAAAGGTCTGTGCAGCTTGAAATTATTACCTTTTTGGTGGAAGTTAATCACATCCGTTCTCGTGCTGTTTATACAGATCTTTGACTCGTCAAAGTAAGGCACGATTCCCCTGTCCAGATGTATCTGGATTTGCTATCTAGCAATATCCGAGTCGAACGAAAGAGCATATATCGCAGTATCATCTGCGTACAATGCTGTACTCGTTCTCTCGAATACAGGGAAATCGTGCGTATATATAGGGTGTAAAGCAGAGGTGAGAGGCAAGAACCCTGCCGAACACCTGCCTCGAGTGGAAAATCCCCCGATATCCTTTCGTTAACCTTAACCCGGATTTTCCTGTTGGTGGTATATGCATCTATAACCTTGATGATAAAAATCGGCACTTTAGCCTTGTACAGCTTGGACATTAGACCTTCGTGCCAAACGGTTGTCCATCATGACCAAAACAGTGTTTTTGTGTTATTGCTGGCCTTCTTTACCTCATGAACAGTTCGGGCCACTTGGGACACAGTGCTGTGTCCCTTGCGGAACCCGAATTGCTCTTTTGGTATGAAGTCAGATACAGACACCACTAAGCTATCGCTTCACTTGTAGTAGTCATAGTTTCTCAACATAAAGAAGGAAGAAATATCATGTGTTGTGGGTGACGTCACCTGATCTCCATATTTGATGATTCGCTGGTCTAACTAGACGTTTGTGTCCAAACTCGACTCGGACGCGAGAAGTTAGGTTCATGTTTATAATTATTATGAAAAATGTTTCTTTCGAATGCGATCATACAAAGTTAGTCTGAAAATTCTTCGATACAAATCAAAATTCAGTGCCTATGACGATTCCGTCTGAAGTTTAGTGTTGAGTGATATTTATCCCTGAATATAAAAATATTATGACACCCGTGTCCAATGAGAGCTTGCTAGATAGTAATTTTGTTTCATATTTTGATCAAACTACCAATGAGGAAGCGAAATACAAAATCGAAAACACAGCATATTTAGGTATCTAGCAGCTAATCTACAGCCAAAAAACAAAAACGAAAACATCATGTTTTCGATTATCAACACAGATATTTCAACAATTCGAAAACGTGTATGCTGAAATCAGTGGAATAATCATGAAAGTTCAACCGGCTGAACTAAACTGCTGTTCAAAATGAGTTGTAGCGGAGGCTAATGTTTGCACTTTGCACTAATTGGTTTATTTCGCGATTATTCCTCTTATTTGAACAAATATTTTGATGTGGTTTTGATCATTCCGATTGAATCATGATTTATCAGCTATACATGACCACTGGATTGCTCATGAAATGAATTTGATTTCCTCTGGTTGAATACAATTACGAATAAAGCTCTAATACATTGATATTTGGAGAATTCCTCATTCTTCTGATTGAATGGACAATCCATGGAATTTATTTCAATCATATTTTCACGATGCATAAGTGTATTCGTCGAAACGCTTTTCTATTTTTTCTCATATCGTCAGACATTGTGAAGAAAAAATCCAGGAATTAGGAGAATGGTTAATTCTTCAGTAGCTGACAGGTTATTTCTATCAAAATGAAGAATCCTTTTTGAAATGTGTAATCATCGCGAAAATATTCGATTTGAATTTACTGAAAATGGAAGTTGATTTTTTATCAGTTTATATTCACTTAGTGAACCTCGATATTCCATAAAAAATACATAAAACCCAAGAAACTTTGATACTATTACTGCACCAATCAAACAACTGCTTTGACGATAATGAGATAACATCAGAAGATAATGGCTCTATTCATTATATTTATCGCTTGCTCTAATCTCTTCAATTAATATCACTGTTAGAAGCAACCATTACTAACCTTGTCGAAATATGGTTTTAATAAGAAGAAATGAAAATTTGTCGATCTACTCTTACTATGTTTTTAATTCTCTCAACATTCTCGCAACATCAAAAATGTTCAGGAGGTTGAAATAGTTATTTATTATACAAGGGAAAAAAGTAGTAGATTTCAGCTCCAGGTTGTGTTGTCTCCCGACGCGTAGCGGAGGGAGACAAAAAACCGTGAGCTAAAATCTAATATTTTTCCCGTGTATAATACACTATTTTTTTCTGTGACAGAAGGAAGGACGAATCAATATTGAGAAGATATTACATTATTTCGAAATCTGAAAATTATCGACGTGAAATTTCAAGTTTTTAACAGTAGGGACACCTGCGTTTTATAGGCATCTTTATCATTCTTTTGAAGTAATCAAATATCTGATGTCACTTCTGTCAGTTCGCTTCTGTGATTTGATTTTAAAAAATTGCGAATTCAGTAGTTGTTTAGTAATATACGAAACCGCGAAGTCGAATGGAAGATAAAAGGACTTGCAGTTCTTTCTCGGAGACGGTATTATTGACTCATTTTTCGGAACTATAGCACAACAAAAGCCATTAACAGAGTATATATATGTGATATATATCCGGGAAAAAAGTACTCACTTTTTTCCCACGGGAAAAAAGTAATTTATGAAAAGTGACATTTTATAACCTGCCAACAGAGATGAAATGCCAAACTTTTTTCCCGTCACAGAAAAAATATAGTTTTCAGGATATTTTTCAGCATTAATGTTTTCTTGTAAAATTTTATTGAAATTCAATTAACTTGACAACGTCGCATCTGATCCTTGAAAACTAAATAGGTTTGCGAAGCCCACATATGAGAGATATTCTGAAAATGAAAAAATACACAGAATGATCCATGTAGAGAAAATTATTGATTGTTTCTATAGGTACTCGAAAATAATTTTAGAGAGTAGCTTATCAAGTCTTCAATACTTCCCCTCCAAGCCCAACCTCACCATCAAGTGGTGTGGGGAAGGCAGGCCGCGGCCGCTTGACAGATGAAGCATTTTGGGACCATCTTTGCTATCTTCTGCCAGATGGGACAATTTGTGGACATCTGTGACAGGGATGGGGCGATTTGCTGATGTCTGTCTAGGTGGTCGAGGACTGGTCAACGAGGCTCTGGCAACCTAATCCAAGCTGTGGGAACCCGTGGCGATGGATGGATGGCACCGAGGAATGGTGTCGCTAACGGGGCCTCTGGTAAACAGGGCGACATCCCAGAGTAAACAGCCTTAGCCCTGTGCAGGGGGCACCACAGGGCTGGACCAACCCCTTCCCCCGTCACTCGTAGGAGAAGGAAAGCTTTTGGCCTTCTTCGTAGACGAGAACAGGGATCGGAATAGCAATCTTCAGGGACCTGAACGAGAAGGGTCTCTCATATTGAAGTGGGCCTTAATAGGCACCATGAGTCGTATGTGGTGAGATTGATAACGGCATGTAGGTGAGATACAATGGGCCACTAGGCCTAAGTGTCGTCGGAGACATCGGTCAGATGAGCCTACAACGGGGTGGAGTGTTTAGTGGGTATACCATGGAGGGGACTCCCACACTATCATATGGGGGATTGGACACATATGATGTCTATAAAAGATTTCAACCACCTCGGCGAGAAAACAAAAAAAAAGTCTTCAATAACTGCTAGCTGTGGTCCAATCGAGTAGTGGGTGACCACATATCGTTAGTTTTCTGCATATATCCCAGAAAACTCTAGATTTAGACATAAACGATGGTATCATTTCTTGGTTAGTATCAATAAGCCGTACTGGTCACACACCATTCGAGAACGCATGTTTATTTGAATAAAGTCTCCTGATAATAATATAAGCATATAGGGATCATGGAATTTGTCAATTCCTGTGAATAAAAGTTACCTAGTGAGCATATTCAGATTTTCGGAAAATGTTACAAATGAACATATGCTATTTTTATACATTATACGATCAATGATAAATAATTATGATCTGGCCATACTTTATTGGAGTTATTCCATACTCTTTCCAGATATTGCCTTCTTACACATTTGAAGATTTATCAAGTTCAATGTTATCCTTGTCCACGTACTTATGGAGAGAAATAATAATTCTTTTATTTCCTGAATATTACAGCGTAATATTGATATGATTGAATTATTGTGCATATATTTCTGAAAATTATAAGAATAAGAGTAGAGTCGTGAATCCCAAACAACATTTTACGACCCAATGTAAAAACTCCACAAACGATAAACGACCCTATATAGTTCACTCCAATTGCACCTTCTTGTAGATTTCATTATCAAGATCATGCATTTTTATTGAGGGCTTTTACTCCATACCGAATTAACCTGAAAGCTCGCTGAAAACTCAGAAATATTGCTGACGTTGCATAGAAATTGCCTGATAATTTCCATTTCAGCACACACACCACGGAAAATCCATTTGAACAAAGAGAGGAGTCGAGTGGAAATGATTAAAGTACAAAGGGCACAGGTATGTACATCCACTACCTTCGCGTCATTGGATGATCTGAGATCCTGGTTCAATTTCTTATATACCTGTGAAAATATGTACAGGATATATGTTCATGAGCTCACGTGATCTTCATATGGAGAATTGAAAGTAGCATATAAGTATATTCACGGGACTGGCGTTTATGCCATTGGGCTTAAATGTCTAACTTTTCGAATAAAATTCCACATAGGCTCACTGGGGCCTACTTGCTAGGCGACCTACTCCCCTTTCTCTACTACTAGTAGTATGTACCTATACCCATGAAAAATTAGTTGACAAAATTATAATTTCTTATTATTAGTAGTATCCCGAAGTTGATATAGAATGGAAGAATATGATGTGTTACATTTTAAACTGCGACCCAAAATAAATTTATTGATAATCAGTTTTATTATTTACGCCTGCTCATCAAAAAATTAGCATTTCTGATATAGGTTATTCGATATCATCGATAACAATCATGGACCATTATATTTAGTGATTCACACGAGACCAACGAGACGAGACTTTCATAAAGTATCGTCTCGACTCGCCGATGAAATATGAAGTATTGTCTCGAGTCTAGTCTCGCAGCCACGAGTCTCGTCTTGTCTCGCGTCTCGTACGAGAGTCCCACGAGTCTCGTCTTGTCTCGCGTCTCGTACGAGAGTCTCGCAAATGTATCGCAATTTCGTCATGCCTAATCTTGTTTCAGTCTAGTAGGGGATATTCACCTTTACCTACTTGTTAGGTATAATCTAGAAGTAGGGAGAGAAAATTACAACAAAAATAACATTATTTATTGAAAAGTAAGTACCTAATAGGTACATACTTACATCATACATCTGAACAAGAAAAAAAACAGCATTATATATTCGAAAGCTATAAAAATAAAATGAAAAGTAACACGTATATTCTAATAGGAAAAACAAATCGAAAGCTTTAATCCAAAATTATTTTACTTATTTAAGAAATAGGTATCTAAGAAAAAAACCTTTATTAGTCAGATCAGCCTTCACGATCGCAAAGGTTTTTTCCTACGACCACCTATGAAAACAGCACAAAACACATCGATTTGTTATTGAGAAAGTGACTCGTTTCACTATGACAACATATAACAGTTAGAAAGTTCGAAAGTAATACTCACTTGGGTGGAAATATTCGAGAATCGCACAGTAGTCTATAGATTATGATGTACAATTGAATGATTATTATGCTGAATTATGGTAAGTTAAGTTATGGTCAAGTTAATAGAAAGTTAGTGTCGATTCAACATGAGTTATTGTCGTTGATGTTGACGTAATGTCAAGTTGATGAAATGTTGAAATCAAGTGAATTTCAATTGAAAGTTGAATCAATGTCAATGTATTGGCAATTTAGTGATTAATGGTAAGTTACTGTCAATTTGATATTGAGTTGATATTGATTTGATTTTAAGATAATGTCAAGTTAATTTTGAGTTAATGTTGATTTGATGTTGAGTTAATGTTGAATAATTATTGAGTTGATGTTAAGTTGATTTAGGTCAATGTCAGGTTAATTTTAAGTTAATGTTGAGTTGATGTTGAGTTAATGTTAAGTTAATTTCAAGTTAATGTTAAGAAACTGTTGAATTTATGTTAAGTTGATGTTAAGTGGATGTTGAGTTGATGTTTAGTTAATGTTGAGTTAATGTTAAGTTAACGTTAAACTAATGATGTCATTTAAATATTGAAGTAAAATTAAATAATAATGATAATGATATCACCTTCATGTGATCGAATATGATCAGAAACATGATCCCTACTCTGGTCTTATAAACACTCATGACATATCATATAAATATTTGTGGTCGTGGGAAAAATAGTGTACAGGGTGGCCAACTAAGAATCCAGAGTTCGATACCTCTGTTGTCTTGAGAGATACAAAAAAAAGTTTTGCATTCAAATTGAAGTGATATAACCAAGCTTCACATTTCAAAATTTCTTTGAAATACACAGGGTGTTCCGTAAGGTCACAGCACATCAAAGCTATGTTTTTTTCATTGGAACACCCTATATTTCATTTCATTTTTGAATTCTCCCTGACGATCTGATTTCAACGACGTATCATACTTAGGGTCTAGCAGTGAAAGTAACTGACATATACGGTGTGCAAAATCGAGATTTTCCAAGTTTAGGATTTTTTTCTGTCGAAACTGTTCATTATTCGTCAAAACGGTTCACACGTCCCTATCTCAACTGTTCACTCACTATCGATTGGTGTTCAATTGAAATTGATACAAGGTGGTCAAATTCAACAACAGAGCCTGGTCACGTTTAACGTCGTCTCCGAGTTTCATAGTGATATTCCATAAACAACGAAGTCACAAATTGTGGAAATTATCGAAGTGAATACTTATGGTGATCTTATCTACTGTAGGAAGTTTCGCGAAAGTTTCTTTTGATGTGCTTGTTGGATATGAATAATATCGCATAATGGTGAATTGTACCTTATGTTCGTTGCCATTAAGCAGAAGCAAACCAGGAATTTCTTGTGAAGGATGCAAAAAAGAATACCATGCTGTCTGTGTAACAAAAACTCAGGACATCATTAATCTGATAAATACTATACCGGGGCTGTTCTGGAAATGTGCCGATTGTATGAAAAACTGCATACTGTTGAATTCTAATGATATACAGAATTTAGTTGAATCGAAATTGGATGGTGCAATACTGTCGTTGAAAAGTCAAGTCGAATCTATGAAAACGGATTTTACGAAAGCTGCTGCCGATATCGAAAACTTGTCTCACCAGCCACTGAAATATTCTGATGTCCTCAAAGACAAGTCGCAACCAGCCATTATAATTCGTCCTAAGAGTACCAATCAAACGATCACACAAACCAAATCGGAAATATTGCGCAACATCGATCCTACAGCAGAACAGTTTCAACTGGCTAAAGTAAAATCGGTAAAAGATGGTGGAATTTTAATAGGCTGCAAAAATAAAGCAGATAACGAAAAACTAATGCAGATGGTGAAGCAGAAGATGTCGAACTCATACGATGTCAAGGAGGTTAGCGGATTTTATCCAAAAATGCGGGTTGTTGGAATGACGGATAACTTTTCTCCTGAAGATCTTAAGAACTTTCTACTTGTTTGTAATTCGTCTATTTTTCTGGAAGATTCGGAGTGTAAAGTTCTAAAAATATTTCCTACCAAAAAAAATCCCAACATTTGGCAAGCAATTCTGCAGGTTGACAAGTATGTATATGAACGGGCTATGAAGGCTGGAAATTTGTTTGTTGCGTATGACAGCTGTACAATTTATGATGCGATCGAATTACATAGATGTTTTAAGTGCAATGAATTCAACCATTCGTCACGCAGTTGCAACAAGCAGATTTCGTGTCCTTTATGTAGTGGTGATCATGAAGTTGGCAAATGTAAATCTGCTATAAGGAAATGCTCTAACTGCTGTAGCCAGAAAAATGTTAACATAGCTGTTGATCATGCCGTTTGGGAGAATGATAAATGTACGACTTACATACAGGCTCTAGATAAATTTAAAAGTAATTTGTTCTTGAATCAATAGCAATCAGAGAGCAATCATCTATCCTCCCCCGTACATAACACAAGTTCTCCGCCGGGCCAAACAAAAAACGGGTCAACTCTATCAATTTACTATCAGAACACACGCGGACTCAAAACAAAAACTGCTGATGTATTTAATTCTTTAACACAATGTGACTTTAAAATATTTGCTTTTACCGAAACATGGCTCGACTCATCAGTTAGCAATACGGAATTATTTCCTAACTACTTCAATATATACAGGGAGGATCGCGACAGCTCATCAACAAATGTATCCACTGGTGGTGGAGTTCTTATTGGAGTGCATGAAGACATTATATCTAATTGCATTAACTTAGTTGATTATTCATTCCCGATTTTAAGGTCTATTGAAGTAATCTTAGTAAGAATAACTCTGGTATCTAATTACTTTTATATATTGAATTCGTACATTCCACCTAGGACAACGTTATCAGAATTTGAACAGTTTTTGGAAGCGCTTGAGTCGTTGCAGATTTTATATGATAGCACAACTCTGATGTTGGGGGACTTCAACATAGCCGATTATGCGACCTATCTTCGAACTAATAGAACTAATACACGAATATCACTGTTGAATAACTTCTCTCAATTCTTCGACCTCTCTCAAAACAACTTCATATACAATCACCTTGATAAACTCCTTGACTTAGTATTCTGTAACCAGTTTTGCTTGGTGGAGAAATCTCTAGACCCTGTAGTAAGGGAGGACAAGCATCATCCGGCACTTGATATCTCTTGTTCGCTCAATCCCAATTCTCAGCGTGAAAAAAACCTCGATTCATTTTTCCAAAATAGTTACAACTTTCGAAAAGCAAATTTTCCTTTAATGTACGAGTTAATGTCAACTATTGACTGGACATTTTTGGAAGTATTTGTCAATGCTGAGGATGCTTGCACTTACTTCTATGGAAAACTGTATAATATCTTTGATCGTTGTGTTCCAAAGTATAACTTTCGGAATAAAAATAAATTTCCGCCATGGTTTGATGCTGGTATCATAAAAGACTTACGCAGGAAATCCATTTTATGGCGCCACTTTAAAAAAGAGAATGATATTCAATCTTTTGATGAGTTTAGGCTATTGAGAGCGAAAGTTAAAATCGACATCAATGAATCGTACAAAAACTATGTGCAAAGGTCCGAAGCTGAAATATCTTCCAATCCAAACAAATTCTGGCAGTTCATCAATTCTCGTAAGTCTTCATCAAAAATCAGCAGCAGAATGGTGTATGACGACAAATTGCTGCAAGAGCCTCCAGAAATTCTAAATGGGTTTGCCGACATGTTCAGTAAATCCTACACTCTGTCAACGCAGTACGATTCCACACCCGATTATGGTAGTGAAGACGGTTTGCCCCTTATACTTATAACTGAATTCAGTGAGAAGGAAGTCTATGACGCTATCAAATTGTTGAAACCAAAATCAACAGCAGGACCAGACTGTATACCAGCATTCGTAATTAGAGACTGCGCCTCAGCACTTGCCCGACCTTTATCAATTCTGATCAATATATGTCTTAAATCTGAATACTTTCCGACAAGCTGGAAGCTATCAAAGGTATGTCCTATATATAAGAAGGGTGATAAAAATAACCTTGTGAATCATAGACCAATTTCGATAATATGCAACTTTTGCAAAGTTTTCGAAATTCTTCTGGAACGTAATCTGTCCTATAGCATCAACAAAATCATTTCTCCCCATCAACATGGTTTTATGAGAGGTCGGTCGACGGTTACAAATCTGATAACAGTTACTCAATACATTTCTGAGAATATTGACAATCGTGCGCAAACAGACGTCATCTACACCGACTTCTCCAAAGCCTTCGACAGACTTGACCACGGAATTTTGATAAACAAACTGAAAGCATTTGGCCTATCTATCTCTCTAGTAAACCTATTCAAATCATACCTCACTAATCGTAAACAATATGTCCAGTTGAACGGCTACAAGTCTATCGAATATCTTGCAACATCTGGCGTACCACAAGGCTCCAATCTGGGGCCACTTCTTTTCAACATTTTCATTAATGACATTGGTAGTGTTATTGACGTGAACTTTTTGCTATATGCGGACGACCTGAAATTATATAGGTGCGTGAATCACATAGATGATTGTCAACAGCTCGCTGACAACCTGGGTCCTGTCAAATGTGATGTCATGTCCTTCACATTGAAGTCGGACCCTATCGTTTTCAATTACTCAATTGGTGACATTTCTCTTCTGAGACCTATAACATTCAAAGATCTTGGCGTTATATTTGATCAATCTATATCGTTTAATGATCATATTGACTCAATCCTGAAATCTGCATTTCGAGCATACGGGTTCATAGTACGCAACAGTCGTGATTTTAAAGAGATAGATACTCTTAAGAAATTATACTACTGTTTTATACGTTCGAAGATTGAATATGCATCGGTTGTTTGGAGCCCATACTATCGGAACAATACTGATCGTCTTGAAAGTCTGCAACGACGGTTTTTGAAACTGTTAAGTTACAGGTCATGCGGTACATACCCTCCAATTGGTACACCTCATGGAGAGCTTCTAGAAAATTTCCGATTCGTGAGCCTGCACGTAAGAAGACAATACTTCTCTATCCTGGTCCTTTATAAGGTTGTTAACAATTTAATTGACTGTGCAGATTTGTTGGAAAAATTGAACTTTATTATCCCGAGATTATCTTCCAGAAATTGTGATACGTTCTACTTAGAGTTTCCTCGAACCAATATATATAAAAATTCACCCTTGTATAAGATGTGTAGTACATATAACTTGGTAGCTAGGGATATAGATCTGTTCAGCTGTGGAATAACTCATATCAAAACTTTTTATCTTTTTTCTCCTTCATCAGTGAATAACTAGATACTTAGTCAGGATATTCTCATTTTGTCATATTGTTTCGTCTATCCATTATGCTTATGTAATATACAATGCATGTTTTTGTTTTGTCCTTTTTTCCTGTTCTGTAAATGGGGCAACCTGTTGAACAGTGTAAGAAATAAATAAATAAATAAATAAATAAATAAATAAATAAATAAATAAAAAATCTAAATTTATAATTTGTTTCAATGAAATGTAAATTGAACACCAATTGATAGTGAGTGAAGAGTTGAGATAGGGGCATGTGAACCGTTTTGACGAATCATGAACAGTTTCGACAGAAAAAAATCCTGAACTTGGAAAATCTCGATTTTGCACACTCTATATATCAGTAACTTGAGTATGATACGTCGTTGAAATCAGATCTTCAGGAAGAATTCAAAAATGAAATAAAATATAGGGTGTTCCGATGAAAAAAACATAGCTTTGATGTGCTGTGACCTTACGGAACACCCTGTGTATTTCAAAGAAATTTTGAAATGTGAAGCTCGGTTATTACTTCCATTTTGATGCATGAATTTTTTTTGTATCTCTCAAGACAAAAGAGAAATCGAACACTAGAGTCTTAGTTGGCCACCCTGTACAAAACTCGTTGGAAAGTGCATTTCCTGCGCTCGTTTCGTTTGCGCACTCGTCGCTCTGCGGCTCGTACTAAACGTCCACTCGCGAGAAATATGTCATTTTCCACACTAGTTATGTAGTATACTCTTGTTTTTCACCTAGTCGCTGGGACAACAAACATCGTGCGAGAATAATCTTTCCGCCGGGACTGAATTAGCCGGTAATAATTCTCAAGTCTGCAGTCGGCATCACGCAGAAATATTCACCCTGCGAGACTCTCGCACGAGACACGAGAAGTCTTGCACGAGACTCGAGACGAGACCAATAAAAGTCTCGGCTCGTCTTGTTCGAGTCTCGTCTCGAGTATTGTCTCGGAAACGAGACGAGACCATGCGAGACTCTCGAAAACGAGACTCTCACGAGCACCACTAATTATATTGAAGAAATTGAAACTTGATTAGTAGTACGGTGTAATTAGACCTAAACCTCAACATCCAAAGTAAAAGTTTTCCTCCAACACCAAATTGCTCTACATAGTCCCCTTATTCTATGGTAAAAAGTTACACCATTTTGAGCGTCGGGTTTGGGGGTGAGGGGGGGGGGGGATTTGAAAAATCACTAGTTTTTTTAGTTTTTCGTAAATATTTCAAAAACTAGGCGGTTTATCCTAAATATTGTTATATACAAAAATGTTCTACGTTAAATTTTAAATAAGAATGGTCTATCTCATAATCACTCTAAATTGTACGGTTCAAGAGTTACAGACGGTGTAAATGTTAACTTTTTCGTAATTATAATAATTTTTTTAAAAAATAAGCTTCGTAAAAGAATGTTGCTATTTCAGTGGCCGGTGGTATGTTAGTGATAAGCCCTTGAAGGAACGACAACCTCACCACCTTATCAAGGGGCATTCTGTTTTAAGGGAAAAGAGGCTTCCACAGGCCTAGGCCATATAAACCTGTGGTACGGAGAAACCCACCCTGAACTTTCTAAGAACATTGCAACATAAATTC